GCCTGTGTTGTTTTTGTTTGTTTTTTAATGTGGTACTGGGACCTTGCACAATACTAGGCAAGTGCTCTGCTGCTGAGCTATAATACTAACCTTTTTTAGTTTAGTTTAATTTTGTTTTTAGAGATGGCCTCACTATATAGTTCAGGCTGGCCTTGAACTCGCAGCAGTCCTCCTGCCTCAGCTTCCCAAGTGCTGGGATCACAGGCGTGCACCCCCACACCCAGCACAGTTAAGATGTTTTGTACATCACTGTGGCACATTTCACAGTAGTCAGTATATTTTACCATGTTTTAAGGTAAAGACATTTTAGGCAGTTATGTAACATTGTTGGCTAAAGCTACAGAATAGGAGTCTCTGCTGCTGTCCTTAGAACAGGCTTTGGAATCAAGTCTGGATCGTATATGTGTTCTGTACTTCTCTGCTGTGTAATCTTCATCACATTAATCTTGGCCTCAGTTTACTTGTCTGTAAAATGGGAGTAATTCCACCTGCTTACAGTTACTACAATGAAACATGAGAGTGACTGGTGCAGAGCAGGTACTAAATAAATAACTTACCATATTAAATAAAGCATTACGATTGCTTATATTGTTGGCCAGTTGCAAAGTACTATACTCGACAGAAATAAAATAGTTAAATGTACAATAACCTAACACTGTTTGGTTTTGTTTTACATTCAGAACATTCAACATGCCAAGGCTAAAGCAGATTTAATAGACCTCTAATATATAGTTGTCTGAGAATGTCTATTTCTTTCTTTGGCGTTTTGAGACATGGTCTCACTGTATAGCCCAGGCTAGCCTGAACTCCCGGCAATCCTCCTGCTTCCCCCGCCTGTTTCTTTATATGGCCATCTGCTGTTAGAATTACAGCTGAGTTTCCAGGGGGATTGCTGCAGGGAGGGTGGGTCAGATTGTCGGGTGGTCTCACTGTGGCCTGGAGCTGCCAGGCTGCAGTACTGTCAGCCTCACTGTGTAAGGACCTCGCTCCTAGTGCTTCCAGATAAGCTCAAAGTGTGATCTTTGTGTCAGTCAGTAATGAAAACTTCGCTGATGCTATAAATGTATGGTATTCTAAATTTGCTCATTTTAAAATATCTGTGCTTATCAAAACTGTTGTGAAAGATTAAGGCAAAATTTGATCATCAATAAATTAATAATTTAAATAGACTGTGTTTTTCACTTCATGTTTAAGCACAAATCATAGACTTAGGTAAAAATTACCCAAAACCTGTTCTAAAAACAAGCACCGTACCAATTTTACTTTTGAGGTTGAGACTGAGGGCTCACTTGTCCCTTATGACTCATTCCAGATGTTGGTGTTGGCCGTAGGACTGCTTTGGCCTGGGAATTACCTGTGCACAGTCCATTCTGTTAACTTCAGAACATTCCTTCCCGGTTGCCTGCAGTAGGAGGGAAGAAGTGACAAGGGCAAGGCCAGCCTGGACTACTCCATGGACCCTGACTCGGAAAAACCAAAAAATAAAAAATTTAAATTTAAAGTGATAAGGATAGAAACCAGTGGCAAGGGGTTTGCTTGTTTTTTCAGAATAGTTCGTTGTTAGCCTATGTAGATCAAACAATGAAAGTGACAGAGAAGTTGGAGGAAAAGAATAGAAATGCTGACTAGATTGAATAGGGCCATCTTTGGCTAAATCCCGAGGTGGAAGTGGTAGAAACAGCATTCACAACAGCTAGGACTTGGGCACACTGTATACCAAACCCCGCTCCAAATACTGTGTGCTCACGACTCACTCAGCCTCAGGGTTACAGAGGGAAACAGCCGCTGTTGTCCTCTCTCCATATGCAGTCTAGGCTCACAGTGATTCTCCTGCCTCAGCCTCCCACATTCTGGGATCACAGGCGTGCACCACCATTCCCAGCCCACCCCATCTGACAGATAAAGGAAACTGCTTCCCAGCAGCTGATTTCTTACCCATGATCACACAGATCATGAAGCGGGGGCAGGCTTGGGTACATGCTCTTAGCTCCCTGCCCAGTAGCAGTGATTGATATTAAACTACTCTGAGAAACTGTGACCAAATTAAAAACAAGCTTGAGAAAAACTCGAAGCAAGGACTTGCTGAGTGTTGTACCTCTCTCTTTGCTTTGGCCTTCTCGTGTTCACAGTGGGCAGGGTGATTTTAAGACCCGAGTTAGTGGATGTTTCGCGTCTGAACAGTGGCTGCCTCCGAGCGTGTGCGGTGAGCTGCTGCTATTACTTTTGGGCATTTTCTAAAGAAGCAGCCAATCATTGAGTGAAAGCGGAGGGGCGAAACAAAGGGGCTGATTCAGCAGCACGTTTTGCACAGACACAGGGTCTCAAGTTAAAAAGCTGGCCCTGGGTCCCCGTCCGTGTGTGTTGATGAGTCTTGACACGTCAGTTAATTGCTGGCTGGGGACAGCTTCTGGCGTGTGGATACCAAGGGGCTGACAGAGTGGAGTCCTGTCTGTGTTTTTGCCTGTCATCCACAAAGAAGGAAATGGCTTAGTGGACTGAACACTGTCATTTCTTTGGAGGCTGAGAAAAAAAGATAATTGGTAGGTAGAATTGAGAGGCTAATGTGCATAGAGGAAGAGTGACTTAAAAATTGATGTATTTTCAAAAAAGTGAAACCCGTGAGATATGAGAATTTTGCATTATGGGCAAGTGTAGAAAAATGTGAGAAACAAACACATATTCTTTTGCTACTCTCATCTTAGTATCTAATTATGAGAGTGTTTGCCCTCCTTTTGAGGTCAAGGATGTTTAAAACCAGGAATATTAAGCTTAGAATAACTTGACATTGACATTCATCCATTCATTCATTTATGGAAATGAGTTATTGGCCAGGGATTTAGCTCAGTGGTGCCACTGCTTGCCTCACAAGCGCAAGGACCCGAGTTCTATCCCCAGTGCCAAAAAAAGAAAGAAGAGAATGAGTTATTGTATCTAGACGCAGTGTTCTTTCTTAGCAGATAAACCAAAGTCAGTTTGCTGTGGTTGACTCCGTCTTTGCTAAATGAGTGGGACATCAGAGCAGTTCCTTTATTCTGTCAGGTTTCTTGCACACTAACCTGAGACACGTGGCTGGTGTGAGAGGCCAGCAGCCAGTGAAACCTTGGTCCGGGAACCACAACCAGACCGGCTGGCCCGGCCCTGGTCTGAGCAGAGCTTCCGAGCTCTCTCTCCTTCCGTCTCCTTTGCCTCGGGAGAGACTTCAGGAGAAGCTGCAGCCCGGCGCGTTTGTTCCCATCTCTTCCCCCGCTCACTGTGCAGGGCCCTGTGGGCTGCTGGTCCGGCTTTGCTCACCGCTCAGGCTCTCGCGCTCTGGTCTCCCTTTCTCCCCAGTCATCACTTGGTGGCTTCTCTTCGCTTCCGTCTAGCCTTAAATATCACTTTTATAGAGGTTTTCTGTGATGACTCTAAGTGTTCGATTACTGTGAATAATGTTATTTATGAAATGAGATGTCCTTTGTTACTCTGTGTCCTAGACACCTGTTTCCTTGGAAGCACTTGCCAAATTTTATCATTTTTTTCTTAGTTTATTATGTTTCCCCCACAACTGGATTGTTTTGTTTTGTTTTGTTTTGTTTTTTGAGACAGGATTTCACTATGTAGTTGAGACTGCCCTGGAACTCACTGTGCAACCCAGGCTGGTCTCAAACTCACAGTGGTCCTCCTGTCTCAGCCTCCCAAGTGCTGGGATTACAGCTGTGCGCCACCACACCAGGCTTCTCTCCACAACTCGATTTTAAGTGCTGCGGGGCCAGCAGCCCCCGGCCCACAGGGTCCCGCACAGGCAGTGCAAGGGTGCAGGCGTTGCTTGTTTGTGGAGCGAACGACGACGAGTGAGTCTCAGCTTGTGCAGCAGTGGCGCCAAACCGAATCGCTTTTCTTGGACAGCAACTAGGATCTACCAACTTCGGGGATGCTTGGGTTAATGACTGCTAGACTAGTATAGCAATTTTATCCCCATTCTTTTTCAAATGCATTATAAAGCACTTGGCTGTAAATTATTTAAAGGAAGATTACATTTTTAGTTGATTAAATCTCACTGAATTAAAATATAATTCAAATTTTAAAAGAAATGGGCAGAAGCTGGTGTCCATGGTTTCCAGCATCCCCCACGCACATTGTGGAAGCTCTCTGACCACCACCAGCAGACGTGCTGAGCTTGTTCCTGGTCCTCTTTGAGACCCAAGCAGAGAAGGAGGTAGAGATGCAGCCGATAGCCCAGCTTAATGAGTTCGGGAAGGTAGAGGAGTAGGGTAGATAGAGTACCAGGAAAAGAACTCCAGGATTTATGGTTTCAATTTGGGACCCATCCGTCATTTCTAGTTTTTGTGACATGGGCCAAATCCCAAACTTGTTTTCTCATCTGTGAAAGGTCCCTGGTTCAGAGTGTAGCTTCGGGGCTCAGGCGAGATGCCGGGGAAACTCTGTCAGCTGTGCACTGCCACGTCCGTGCGGACTTCCCTGAGGGCCAGCCAGGCAGGGCAGGGCCGGTCCATCCTTGTAGATGGCACAGAGCCAGGTGCTCCCCACTTCACTTCAGTTCTGTTCAGACTGCAGTCTTGCCAACCAGAAACTCACTGGGATTAAGGAATGTGGATTCGATGATGGGGTTTTCTAGAAGAATTGAATTGATGGCCATACTTTGGTTAGGTCAGAAAATTTCTTCTCAATAGCATGATAAGGTGTAATAAGAGTGAAGACCTAAGGCTTTAGGATCAAACTTAGATTGAGACTTGAATGTCAGCACTTACCAGTTGAATTACCTGGAGAAGAATGGAGAAAATTGCATAGCCTTTCTGGATGATTACCGTCTTTGCTTGCATGCCTTCAGCCTGACGCCTTTTGGGAGAGGTGCACTGAGAGCTTGTGCCTCACACCAGCCCAGGCCTGACGCAGGCCGCGCGGTTTTCCTTCACTTCTAGGAAGATTTGGAACAGCTGCTCGGAAGAAGTGAGTGTTTGAATACTCTGCTATGAGAACTGGTTGAATCAGGCGGAAACAACCAACAAACCTTCATCATGTCTCTGTCAGCCTTGTCTGTGGGAGGCAGACTGGAGATCATCAGAACTACCACAGAGCTGCAGCCTTTAATGCAAATGCAGCGGGAGAGGGAAAGTGGATCATCGGCAGAGGGGACCTGGCCAGCGATTTCTGGGGAACTACCACAGCGAGCAGGTTAGCATAGCCATAGGCCCGAGAGCCGGGGACAGGGTGGACGTGAAAGGGAGTTGAAAGCTGCAGCAGAGAGTAGCTGTTCAAAATTGTCTTTCTCTTGGAAAAGATTGTCTAGGACTTCCACAGGGCCTGGAAATGCCCCTTTGTACCACAATCAAGACTAGTTTCCTGACACTGCTAGCCTGGGAATCTAGCCGTGACCCGTGCCACTCAAAAATAAGTAATATTTATCCTAAGTCTGACCATCATTTGGATTTTAAAATGTATACTTTTTGGGAGCACAACCAATTTGTATCTGGGGATTAGCATTTTAAGTAATAGGAAGTGGGTTGGGGATTTAGCTCAGTGGTTCTGCTGCCTGCCTTGCAAGCACAAGGGACTGAGTTCGATCCCTGGTACCAAAAAAAAAAAAAATTAATAGAAGTTTCCACATTTTATTTTCCTTCTTAAACATATATGCTTGAGGGAAATTAATTGATTGTTAATACCTAAAATCCTAACATCCATTTCCTAACATCTAGAAAGTTTTTATACTTGTAATCTAATAAGCAGTTTCTTTTGTGAAGAGAAGCTATAGTTTACACAGTGAATCATTTCTACTTCATTTGTAATAGTAAGAGAATATGTAATTTTGGCCCTTAATGTTGGCCATTTACCTATTATTTTAGGTTTTGGTCTTAAAAATAACTTCAGATGAAAGGACTACACTCTATTGCTATAGCTGACAGAGCTCTAATACACAAAGAATTATGATTTAGTTATTTTATAAGAGAATTGGCCATAGGATTTCTTCAAACTTTCCTATTTTATTTTCTTTATTATTTAGGTTAGGAATGCAATTATACCTCTTCATAGGCTGTGAACATTTTAAGACTTTTGTTTTCTCTTGATGCAGATAGTTGGGATGGACACGATGGCTGGTTGGATAGATAGGTGCCCTGGAGGATGGAGGAGGGAGGGTGGTGTAGAGGGGCAGATGAATTGGACAGGTGGAAGGATGGATGGATGGACAGACACCTGGATTTTGTAGCCCATTTTTTGTTTTGTAATTTGCAAATAAGGTGCGAACATCATGGTGTTTCAACTCCTGTATACTTCAACGTCCAAGGGTATGTTGGAGTTTGCTGGCACCCGGTTGCAAAAGAAGATTGTGTATATTTCTTTTCCAGTTGATTGCTGGAAGTCAGCCTTGGTGGCAGCATTTATAACGTGCAACTTGGCAGTACTGCAAACCAGGACATTCTGCAGAGAGCCAGTTAATCATCACCGCATATGTCTTCTACCAATAAAGACATCCTCCTGAATATCCACAGCTGAGTATCACACTCAAGAAATGTCACTGGCGTAGTACTGATACCAGTTATGTAATTTATATTCATCTTTCCCTGCTGGTCCTAGTAGCATCTTTAGGCACACTGCCTTTTAAGGTTGTACCTTGCTTTTTGTTACAGAAAGAAGTTATGATGTTAGACCACATTTATGAAGATTTGGGGACATACCATAAAATGTGATAAGAAAAAATAGACTATGTAAAAAGGGCAGTTAATATTTTAGCAGGTTTTTCCTTATTTAGAATTTTAAAAACCATTACTTGGACAAAATGAGTTTTAAGAGAAAAGTGAGTATTAATGAAATTCCAAGATTTTTAGTTGGTATTTTTAAACCTACAGTCTCAGGCCGCCTGTGTGACCTCATTTCCTAGCACTTTCCAAAGTTTCCTGCACGTTGGCCATGTAAGTCTGCTGTTCTCCAGTCACAGGAGGCACGTTTGGCCCCTCTTGGAACACAAGTCTATGGCTGTCTTTACTTAATTGGCTTACTCCTCAATTTTTACCTCAAAGAAGCATTCTCTCTTTATTGCCCCTCTTTGTAGCCCTCCCTGCTTGGCCTTATGTTCTATAATTATTTATTTGTTTTCTGTCTTTCTTCCCAGTGGCAGAGCAAGCTTCATGAGGGCAGGGCACAGTTGCATTTATCCACTGCTGGGTATCCTCTCATGTGACTGCTGCCTGCTCAGTACACAGAGTGAATGAATGCTTGTGTGCGCTTTAGGGTCTTTGTGGTATGGCACAAAACTTGTTATTACTGGAAAATGTTAGGCATTTAACTTGCTAGTGTCAGGACTTCTGCTTCTAAACAGATCTGTTTGTTCCCACTTCACAAGGTTGGGGGGTGGGCAGGTGAAATTGTGTATGTGAACTCCCTTTGTGAAAGACAGACTATACCAAAAATGAAGAAAAAATAAATGAACCTTGCTGTTCCTTCTTAAGGCTCTCATACTTACACAACAGCTACGGTCCCGGAAGGCACAGATGGTAAGTCAAGGTACAGTGCGTCTAGGGGAGCCATGGATGTCAGCACTGTACCCCCATGTGACCACACGGTGGGGGCACAGGTGAGAGAGCTCCCTCTGCTTGGACTTCCTAGGAAAACACTGTAGGCTGTGACAGGTGGATCCGGTTCGACCGATAGGAAGATCTGGACTCGCTGCAGACCTCTCTTTCCCGCCAGCGCAGTGTTTATGACTTGGGGAAGCACAGCTGACATGTGCCTGATTCCCTGAACAATGTTAATATCCCTCAGATGCCTACGGTGTAGTGGGGTGTTGCTGTCCATTTCTCTTAGGAAATCACTCCAAAAATGTTGGTCTGTCAAGCAAGTATTCAAATATTCAAAATTTAGAGAAGTCCAAAGAAGAGAAAATACTCACTGGAAATCCTGCCACAGTCTGATTGGACAGCTCACATTTTGGGATCTGTTTCTAGTCTATATATATGTGTATATGCACGCGTCATATTTAAAAGTTATTTAAACCATAATAACACTTAGCAATCTAGTTTTTACATAACGTATTTAATATTGTAAATGTTACTAAGTGTACTTCTATTAATAGTATCTAATGGTTGTAAAGCTAACTTTCGTATATGTGTATCCAATTTTAGAATTTTTAAAAATTTTAATTGTGGTAAAAAGATAGTAAAGTAAAATTTGCCATCTTAATCATTTAGGCTGTTACAAGTATCACTATAGTGAGTATTCTTGTAACCTAATCTTGGTATATATCCTTTTTTTTCCCTAGTAGTGTTCTGAAAGTAGAATGATTTGATCAAAGTTTATGTGAAGATAGATTTTTATTATTGTAAAATCACTTTTCAGAAAGTTTTGCCAATTTGTAGTCCCTCCAGTAGTCTGCTTTCCCTGCCTTTCACATTAGATTCAACTAGGCAGTTTTTTTCTTTTAATCACTTTGTAGCTGTTGTTGGGGAGGGTGAGGGGAGGAGTTGAAATAATTTTTGTTCTGTTTTTTGAGACAGGGTCCTGCTTTGTAGTTCAGACTGATCTTGAACTCATTAGGTAGCCCAGGCTGACCTCTGATTTAAGGCGATCCTCCTGCCTCAGCTTCCCAAGTGCTGGGGTCCAGTGAAATAGTCTTGCTATGTAGCCCAGGGTGATTCTAGGGATCCCAGTTAAGCCTCCTGCGTGCTCAGATTGCAGGTGTATACCGCCACACCCAGCCCTTTGGCTGGCATTCAGTGTGTGCCTCTAACGCAGTGGAAAGAATATGGTGTTGGAGTTCAGCAGATCAATACTCAGGTATCAGCTTCGTTACTTGATAGCTGGGTGAATTCAGGAAAGTCAAATGCTCTAAGCCTTAATTGCCCTAAAATCTGTAAAAAATAGGAGTCAATTTTTTTGTTTGGTTTTGTTTTGTTGGTACCAGAGGTTGAATTCAGGACCTTGTGCTTTCGAGGCAGGCAGTGGGACCACTGAGCTGAATCCCGGGCTAAGAGTCACTTTTTTGGTGGTGGTGGTCTGGGGAGGGGGATCCTGGTTTGTTTTGTTTTTTCCTTTTTTTTTTTTTGAGCCTAAGGGCCTTGGCACTGAGCTACATCCCCCGCCCTTCTTAGTTTTTACTTTGAGATGTGTTCTCACTAAGTCTCACTAAATTATCCAAGCTAGGTTTGAACCTGTAATTCTCCTGCCTCAGCCTCCCAGAGTGCTGGGTTAATAAGAACGTACCGCGAGACCTGGTTCTGTGGTTCTTTCCCTAAAGGTTGCTATGAGAGTTGAAGGAGACAATATCTGTCATATCTAGTGCAATGCCTAGGCACAGGTGGGCACTGTGCTGTGTAGACAAGTTGCTGGGCTGAGGATTCTGGGCTGGTGTCTCCTCCATCTGGATGGTGTCTTTTCCAGCTGGGATCTGGTACTACAAGGAAGTTTACTGATGTCACAGCTACACCGGTTCACTTTATCCTGTGAGGTCATCTGGCAGTCTGTGCCTGTGTTGCCTTCCCGGAGTGCTCTGTGGCACCTGTGCTCAGCAGCAGGGCTCTGCCAGTCCTGGTTTCCTACTGTAACCAGCACCAAGCACAGGACAGCAGACTTCCTGTGAAGTCAAACTCTGGCTTTGATGTCCTCTGTTGGTCTGTTAGTGTTTCCACTTACTGTATTAGGGCAAAGGGAGAAAACCCATGCCTTCCCTCATTGGGTAGCATTCAGATTGGCTGTGTAACAAATTGGGGTTTGTGGTATCAGCTTTGAATAAATTCATTGCTTTACTTCAAATGTAACATCCAGATGCGTAGACATTCCCAACTCCTCAAGATCTTCCTAAGAAGACTTACTTAAACAGACATTGTGTGTGCTGTATGCAACTCTGCTATTTAGTTTATCTTGCAACAAATACGTACTCTGAGAAAAAGTATGGCGGATTTTGTGCGAACCATTGTACATTCTCTTCATTTAGTACTGTTTACTGCTGAGTGTCCCGTGGTAGGACCTCGGGGGCAGACTGTTTTCTGCACTCCTGGATGTATCACAGAGAAAGAAAATACACGTGTTCTGAGGCAGCGATAGCGAAGTGAACAGTGAGGGCAAGGCCTACCAGCAGACTTCTAGGGAACGATTAATTTTAGTACACAGAAAGTGTGCTGAGCCCTAAACGGCAGATACAGTTTGGCGAGGTGCCTGAAAGAAAAGGCATCTGGCAGGAGGAC